TTATAACGAGAGTAAATTTAATATAGTTGTCCAAAAAATTTGTTATATAAAAATTCGCTATAGAGAGGTATGACTGTAATATTATTTTCAAAAGGCTTACCTTAATGTATTCCTAAAAAATAATAAAGAAAACAGTTAGAAAACTACCAAAATACCACCTCTGAAAGGTTTACCTTAATGTATTCCTAAAAAAAGTGAAGGAAAAATAAAGAAAACAGTAAAAAAACCACCAAAATACCACCTTTGAAAGGCTTAACTTATTTTCGAAAAGAGAAATTTCCTAAAAAAAACAAGAAAAAAGAGTTAAAACTATCTAAAAGTCACTTTCGATTTGCTTACCTTAATTCTCAAAATAAGAATTTCCTAAAAAAAACAAGAAAAAAGAAAGAAAAAGATTAAATTTCCACCCAAAAATCGCATTACTAAAAAAAAGGAAGAAATAAATTTTTTCTGAAAGTTTATTAGTTTTATATTGTAAATTAAACTAAAATTTTAATTAATCTGAAATTTAGATATTATTTATACTATTTATTATAAATGCTACAAATGGATGATTTTGCATTATCTGATTACAAAATTAACGATATTTTAATCGCTACTTAAGAAAGGTATAGAAAATCATTTTAAAGAAAAGACTATATATAATTCCTTAAAAACGATATAGAAAATCATTCTAAAGAAACGATAATATATCGTTCCTTTGGGAATGAATATTCGTTCCTTTAGAAATAATTTCTATCGTCTCTTTAGGAATGATTTCTATCATTTCTTTTAAGATGATTTTTATCATCTCTTTGGGAATGATATTTCATTTTTTTAAGAACGATTTCTATTGTCTCTTTGGAAATGAATGTTTATTCCTTTTAGGACGAGTTCTATTATTCCTTTAGGAATGAATATTCGTTTCTTTAGGGACAATTTCTATCATTTCTTTGAAAATGAATGTTTGTTCCTTTTGAGACAATTTCTATTATCTCTTTTAGGATGATTGTATCATTTCTTTAGGACGATTTCTATCATCTCTTTGGGAACGAATATATCATTTCTTTGGAGACGATTGCATCATTCCTTTGGAATGATTACTCTCAGAATGTTTTTATAATTTTCATAAAAATCAGCTCAACAGATTTTGACCAGTGAAATACAGTTGATTTGTTGCCAAATCTTGCGTCTAACTGAAATTTTGCTGAATATAATAACCGAACAATCTTAATGCTGAAATAATACTAAATTATGTAAAATGTAACAAATTATTATCGATTTTTATAATTTAAGCCAAATTTTTTCTGAATCATATGACTGAATCGGCTGAATGTTTGACAAAAAATCTAATGCTGAAATAATGCTAAATTATGTGTGATGTAACAAATGACTATCAATTTTTGTAATCTAAGCCGAATTTTTGTTGAATTACATGACCAAATCAGCTGAATATTAATCAAATAGTATTAGTACTGAAAGAAATGATTTCGACTAGTGATTAGGACGTAAACTTCATTTTTATAGATATTTAAATACATTTTTTTAAAAAAATTTGTGATCTCAATAAGGATATAAAAGGAAATAATAACATAAAGTTAGATCAACAGAAAAATATTCTCTGAATATAAATAAATCAAATAATCCTAATACAGCAGTAATTTTTAATTTTGCCTAAGTTCGAATTTTATAACTTTAGCTAAAAATTTAATAAATTTTTTGTTGAAAGTATTTATACATAATTTCATTGAATAAACTTATAATTTTAATATTATTCAAAAATTTAAATCCTTAAAATAGTTGTCTAATATAAAATTAGTTCAATAATTATCCTATAAAAAAAGTTGATCTGTATTTTATTTTCCGTAAAGGTCTCATTAAATTACTGAAAATTTCATATCATTTATACAAATTCTGTGAAAAGCTCATTTTCATAAAAATTTTATGTAAGATATGAAAAAATAATGGAAATATTCAGGTAAAAATTTTTTATAGAGCTAATTTAGGATTCACAAACTATATTATAGGTATCAAATAATGCTAATTTATATTTTGATAGTGATTCATATGATAATCAATAATGAAAAATAATGGTATAAGTAGATGTAGTATAAATAATAGATCATCTGGTGGGAAATGTGAAGATAAAGGCTAAATTGCTAATGACGATATTGATTGCACTGGTTGAAATCAAAAAAATCGGCCATGTAATAAATCAGCCTAAAATTGGTCTAAAATCAGATATCATCAAAAATCAGCTAAAATCAAGCTATTCGATTTATAGCTGATTTGGTATATATCAAGAATCGACCAAAATTTGTCTGTCTGATTTCTATCTGATTGGTATATATCAAAATCAGCTAAAATTCAACCTATGCTAATTGGAATACATTAAAAATTAGTCAAAATTTAACCATCCGATTTATAGCCGATTGGAATACGAATTGGCTAAACTTCAACATATTTTATTTATAGCCGATTGGAATAATCAGATTTATTTGATAAATTTGGAGATTACTAATTTTATCAATGAAAAAATAAAATTCAAAAAAAATTGCATTTTTATAAATGGTATTTTCTATTAATGAGATTGATGGAATATTCTTTTGCATTCCGTTAGGTTGAAATTTGATAGTTTACTAGCACAAATTGACCCAAAATATGTTAAACCAGTATAATACAATCACGACTTTCTGGTAAAAATCAGTATCCCATAATTTAACATTACATGTTTCTTCATCATCGCAGAAATAGTATCGAATATTTGGAGAACCTGCAGGTTTATACCAGCGAATGTATGCTAGAAAATGTTCAACTGATCTAGACGGCAAATCGACTATATGAGTAAAATAGTATTAATCGACTGTGCCGTCATTTGTAATAGATTTGGCCAAAATGTATAAACTTTTCACATGTCGCAATGACATTGATGAACCAAAGATTTCAGAACCAATTCAGCACCTTCTGAATTGGTTTATTTTGACCCGAATTGTTATAGTATTTTCTGAATCCTCATCGAATGGCTTCTGAAATTCTAACATGCTATAAGTCGCCATGTAATATTCAACTATTAAATCAAGCATTTCACTTGAAAGAATTATATTATTAGATGATGGTTTAAGGAATTCGCTGGGAAATGTTTCACTATCAGAAATATTCGATTTCCTAATGTTTCGTGAATTTATCCAAAATCGGTGGATTTCATCAGTAGAAAATTGGTCTGTATCCGATAAAGAACCTATAGAAGGATGATTGTCTAACAATTCAAGTTTTTTTACTTCAATGCTACCAGAACTTATAATACTATTGATTTAACTATTAAACATTAATTGACGTATTAGCTCAGGTTTGATTTTTCTATTACTATTTGGCAAAAAACCTGAAAATCGTAAAAAAATGTTAAGTTATTAGATATATAATGATTTATTAGATAATAATAATGAGTTACCTAATATTCTATTCATGCGTTCAAAAGAAAAATAGCAGAATGCATATAATGACCTATAATCTATTGAGCATTTGTTCAAATGGAGAGAAAGGTGGAGATTCAGCGTGATTTTATTATGACTATGATTTTCTTCTATCAACTTTATTATTCTAATTAATCTTCTATGAACTTCATGCAATAGATTTGATTCCACAATCCGGTTTACCAAAATTATACAAATTCTCACGAAATTTGTAAGAATTTTTCTATCTACAATCGGAAAATATTTCCAAAGTGAAACAGTAGCATATACAGTAAAGAATATTCATAACTGATCGGCTGTGAAATTAGAAAATCCCTCTCCTTCATGAATTTTACCCGGAATTCGACCCAAATCAGATGGAATCTGAAACTCATTTATTTTTTTCTGAATCTTATTCAAGGAATTTGATGTTAAAATCTCCTCATTGATCCAGATCCGTTTTACTATCTATCGTGCAATACCTAAAAATAAGCAATGCATTGGATCGATTGTAATAAATTTTATAGGATCAAAATATGGTAAACGTAATAATTCGGACCATCTTACACCATTTTGCTTTACAAATCGCTTTTGTGAAGCGTCCAAATTGCAATATCTCTATTTTAAAGCATTCTGGTGATGTTCAATTGGATCTCGCATAAAGAACCAATCATCGAAATTATCCATTCCGGCAAAATAATGCTGCTAATTTTCATAATTTGCCTTCTTTTTACATCTATGATATGCCACTAATGCTGAAACATGACCACAAATTTTCCTTGCCACAGGAATATCACATGAAACTAGGATTAATGCTGCACGAATCCTTTTACTATTTTTACATTCATTTGTTTGATTTATTGTTATTCCATTCCAAAGAAATTCGAATTCATCAACGATTGATGTTAGATAGTGATTAATTTTATATAAACTGACTTCGCTTGGCCTGGGTAAAAGACCGAGAGTCAGTAAATTTTCATGTTTGAATCATATATCACGTGGCAAATTGCATATAGTAGCATATATTACTCTAATGCTATAAACAGTACCATCATATAGCTGGAACCAGTCAAGATTCAGCATTAATCCAAGGTAAGAATCAGCCACTTCATCTCGAAAAAATTTGGTAAATCATCCTCAGAAGATTCTTTTAACATCTGCTATACTTAACCATCATATATGTCAGTTATAATGTTGACAAAATGCTGACAATTTGCTCAATGTCTCAAATTAATTTTAAAATGAGGCTGACAATACATGGAAGCGAGTTGTTATCGTATTTCACAAAAAGGAAAGATTAAATTAGGTTGAATTACTGTTCGATTTGTCGATATGGCAATTTTTTGAGATAATGGTATATTGCAAAAGCGCGATTTGCGAATTGACGAATTGGGAAATTCTACATGTTGACATTTTATTATAGTTAACATATTATCTTGTCTAAAATTTACCACTTCCTGTTTTTGGTACAGTTTATAACATTTGGAGCAAGAAACGAAATGTTGAAATCTGTCTTTTATTCCAAGTGTCTTCTTTGTTAAGAACATTGAATTTGGAAAGTCTTTAAAATCGTTACCTCCGATTTCTGTCAAAACCAATTTCATAAATTTTATCAAAGCCTCAGTTGCAGACTCTGTAATATTGAATCTTGTCCGAAATGACATGATCCAAATTAATATCCATAAAAATTGGTCATCATCAATTGATTCTGTATTTGGTAGATCTTGAAATAGCTCATAATCCGGTAATGCATAATCCTCAAATGTTTCAAAATCACCATTATCATCAGATTCACCATCATCAGATTCACTTGTAACTTCATCTTCTTCAGTAGTAAATTCAGAAAATTCTGAAGGTTGATTAGCTTCAATTTCAGAATCATCAGAAGAATTTATACCGGATTTGAGATGATTTGTGTACTTTCTTATACGTTTTTGAGATAAGAAAATAGAATCAAAATCCTCTTGATATTCATCATCAGATTCATGTTCAATATTTTGCCTAGCGGAAGTTGATGTTGATGGTTTTCCTGTTTCTTCTTGAATTCCAAATTGATGAATTGTATCCAAAATAGAACTTTGTGAATCTTGAAATCTACTTCTTATATTATAAGATGTTAATGGCCTTGAAGTAGAGATAGATTCTTCATCAATTAAACTAGCAATTGATCTATTTCTTCTTCTACAAGAAGATGTATTAGAAGTTTGACTTGATGATGATTCCTCATAATCATCATCAAGTATGCTAGAAATCAACCTTTTTCTACTCATTATTTGATTTTATATTTGAAAGAATTAAGAAAATCAAAGTTCGAAATATAATAATTTATTAAGACGATTTTTTTGATTTTATATTTGAGAAAATTGAGAGAAAAATAAAAGTTTGAAATGGGAAGACTATTTTTTATTTGTATTGTTTTCCTTTTTAGTAAACAATTGAACGAATTTCTTTTTTTAGCCAGTTTCCTTTTAAATATAATTTAAATTTTGTTTAACTATTTTTAATAATATTGTTTTCAATTTACTTCTGATTTACTTTAAGTCAGTGATGGCATTTGGCCATGGCCAAGCCTAATTTTTTGGCCATTAGCCAATTTGACCAATTGGCCAAAATAATCGGCCAAATAACTAAAATGGCCAAATGTCAAAGGTCACATGACTCTGCCAATTTTTTTGGCTTGAATATTCAATATATTGCATTTATTCAATAATTG